ACTTGGAAACTGGAATATTAAGAGTGCTCTGTACACTGGCAGCCACGTTAGAGTATCCACATGGCCTAACTTCCGAGATGGCCATGTTGAAGAGGATTTCCTCATTTGGATGGGTAAGTTCCAGGGTGTCTGTTATAAAACAAGCTGCACATAAGTCAGAACAGAGGTTGCCTCTGGAAGGGAGACATGGGTGGAATAGAACTGACTGGAAAGGGACTCCAGGAAACTTTCTGGGATGATGGAAATAGTCTATGACTTGATTAGGGTTACACAGTATATACATTTGTCAAAACTTATCCAACAGTATCCTTAAATTGCTGCATTTTATTGTATGCATATTATACCTTAATTTAAAAAATTTAAAGATCAATCCATAGAACTTTATACCTCAGTGGCTTCATTATGATTGGAAGTAATACTAGGCTTACATATCTATCTACTTTATAATTTATAATATGTAATGCCACTGCTTGTCTGTTAGTTTGCCATACTGCAGTGGCTTGCATTTTGCTGTGATACTGGAAGCTATGTCACCAGTATTTCAAATACTAGTAGCATCACCCTTGATGGACAGATTTCAGTGGAGCCTCCAGACTGAGACAGACTTGGAAGAAGGACCTGGTGATCTACTTCTGAAAAAAACTGGCTAGTGAAAACCTTATGAATAGCAGCAGAATACTGTTTGATACAGTGCCAGAAGATGAGCCCCTCAGGCTGTAAGGCATTCAAAATATGGCTGGGGAAGAGCTGCTTCCGTAAAGCAGAGTCGACTGTAATGACATGGATGGAGTCAAGCTTTCAGGACCTTCATTTGCTGATGTGTCACGACTTAAAACGAGGAGAAATAGCTGCAAACATCCATTAGTAAATGGAACGTGGAATGTACGAAGTATGAATCTAGGAAAATTAGAGGTTGTCAAAAATGAAATGGAATGCAATAAAGATTGATATCCTAGGCATTGGTGAATGGAAATGGTTTGGTGTTGGCCATTCTGAATCAGATAATGCTACGGTCTACTATGCTGGGAATGACAAATTGAAGAGGAATGACATTGCATTAATCATTAAAAAAGAACATTTCAAGATCTATCCTGAAGTACAATGCTGTCTGTAATAGGATAATACCCATATGCCTACAAGGAAGACCAGTTAATACAACTATTCTTCAAACTGATGCACCAACCACTAATGACAAAGATGAAGAAATTGAATATTTTTATCAACTTTTGCAGACTGAAATTGATCAAACATGCAATCAAGATGCACTGATAGTTACTGGTGATTGGAATGCAAAAGTTGGAAACAAAGAAGGAGGATTGGTAATGGAAAATATGGCCTTGATGATAGAAATGACACCGGAGATCACGTGATAGAATTCTGCAAGACCGTCGACTTATTCATTGCAAATACCTTTTTTGCAGCAAGATAAACAGCCACTATAAACGTGGACCTTGCCAGATGGAATACACAGGAATCAAACTGACTACATCTGTGGAAAGAGACAATTGAGAAGATCAATATCATTAGTCAGAACAAGGCCAGGGGTCGACTGCGCAACAGACCATCAATTGCTTATATGCAAGTTCAAGTTGAAGCTGAAGAAAATTACAACAAGTCCACAAGAGCCAAAGTATGACCAGAGTATATTCCACCTGAATTTAGAGACCATTTCAAGAACAGATTTGACTCATTGAACGCTATGACTGAAGACCAGATGAGTTGAGGGATGACATCAAGGACATCGTACATGAAGAAAGCAAAAGGTCATCAAAAAGACAGAAAAGACCAAAATGAATGTCAGAAGAGACTCTGAAACTTGCTCTTGAATGTAGAGTAGTTAAAGCGACAGAAGAAATGATGAAGTAAAAGAGCTGAACAGAAGATTTCAAAGAGCAGCTCTAGAAGACAAGTTAAAGAATTATAATGAAATGTGCAAAACCTGGAGTTAGAAAACCAAAAGAGAAGAACACACTCAGCTGAAAAACTGAAGAAAAAATTCAAGCCTCAAGTTGCAATACTGAAGGATTCTATGGACAAAAAAAATTGAGTAACGCAGGAAGCATCAAAAGAAGATGGAAGGAATACACAGAGTCATTGTACCAAAAAGAATCAATCAACATTCAACCATTTAAGGAGGTAGCATATAATCAAGAACTAAGGGTACAGAAAGAAGAAGTCCAAGCTGCACTGACTGTGAAAAACAAGCCTCCAGGAACTGATGGAATACCAATGGAAATGTTTCAACAAACAGAGACAAGGCTGCAAAAGCTCACTCATCTATGCCAAAAAATTTGGAAGACAGCTATCTGGCCAACTGACTTGAAGAGATCCATATTCGTGCCCATTCCAAATAAAGGTGGTCCAACAAAAAGAGGAAATTATAGAACAACATCATTAATATCACCTGCAAGTAAAATTATGTAGAAGATAATCCAAAAACCTTTGTAGCAGTACATCAACAGGGAACTGCTGGAAATTCAAGCCTGATTCGGAAGAGGACGTGGAACCAAGGATAGTTGCTGATGTCAAATGGATCTTGGCTAAAAGCAGAAAGATGATTACCTGTGTTTTATTGACCATGCAAAGACATTCAACTGCATGCATCATAGCAAATTATGGATAACATTGTGAAAAATGGGAATTCCAGAACACTTAATTGTGCTCATGTGAAACCTGTACACAGACCAAGAACAGCTGATTGAACAGAACAAGGGGATACTGCATGGTTTAAAATCAGGAAATGTAAATGTCAAGGTTGTATCCTTTCACCATACTTATTCAATCTATATGCCTAGCAAATACTCCGAGAAGCCGGACTATATGAAGGAGAACGCAGCATCAGGATTGGAGAAAGCCTCATTAACCACCTGTGATATGCAGATAACATAACTTTGCTTGCTGAAAGTGAAGAGGACTTGAAGCACTTAATGATGAAGATCAAAGACTGTAGCTTTCAGTATAAATTATACCTCAACATAAAGAAAACAAAAATCCTTACAACTGAACCAATAAGCAACATCATGATAAATGGGAATACTGAAGTTGTTAAGGATTTCATTTTACTTGGATCCACAATCAACACCCATGGAAACAGTAGTCAAGAAATCAAACAATGTATTGCATTGGGCAAATCTGCTACAAAAGGCCTCTCTAAGTGTTAAAAAACAAAGGTGTCTGAGAAACTATTTTGTTCTGTAAGCCTTCATCTAAAGTGAGAATAGCAGCACAATTGGAAGAGCATAGTCAATGTCACTGAACTGTGCATGTAGA